TAGCACATCTGGTGCTCAGTGCTGCCCATGCGGGGATTACCTAGTGCCCGTCGGGGAGGAGACTGCGGGCGACAATTGGCTATGGGACGATTTGCCGTTCATATATCGATCAATCAAATTACATAGACACCGATGGACAAACAACAAAAATGAAATTGGGGAGCAGGTTAGAGGAGGAGGAGGAGAAGTAGTAGTTCTTAGTATTTAGTAGTAGAAAGGGGCCAAAATGCTGCGCTCGCATGCGAAAACCGTAAAACTCACTTGAGGAACCGCCGCCAGCGCCCGGTGGCGGGTAAGAGAACCAAAATTGATGGGCCAGTTTGGTGTGGAGCCCAACCAATGGGCTTGCTGCAAGAAAAAGTTTGCTATATAATACATTTTATTGGGTTCTCAGGTTGCTAGTGGGTGAGTAGAGCGTTGAAGATCATGTGGACCAGACGCGTAAGCATTCGGAAGTTCAAAAGAGGTCTATCAGAGCGTTGGTTCCCTAGAAGGTATTAGAGATGATGTTCTACCATGTCACACTTTTTTTTAAACATCTTCTCACTAAAGATTCTCTCGCAAAAGACTGTCTCGCTAGACTTCATCTTGTGATAAAACCTCTCGTTGAAGATGGAACATCTCGCTGAAGATCTCTCTTTCAGTAAGCATTCGCTCACTGGTCCAATGGTCAAACCGCCTCAAGGCTACTCCGAAAAACCCCTAAAAAGACTCACCAGTAAATGAGTCTGTTGGTGTTGCGTCTCGATGTTTCAGTTGATCGTTAGTCCAGACGTCCAAGCACGTATCCAGGCATCGGTTGTGGCTATGTGATAATTTTTGTGAGGTTAGGTGACTTTTGCGGGTTAATCGGGAAATCAATCAATCGCTCAATCAATCATTTCAACGATTGGACTTCCGTTATGTGCGGTTCGTTTCTATTCGCTTGATTGTGGATAGAACGATTTGATCTGCTGGTCTAGTCTGGTCTGGTCTTGGACCCTGGCCTGGGGCACAAATGGGTTAACTGGCGAGAGAGAACCGAAAGACAAACAAATTAAAGTGGTATTCTCTGGCAAATTTGAGGCAACAACAGCACATCCAAAAGCTATCAAACTTACTGACTTTCCACTGTATATTCATGTGGCAAGTACTACCAACCACTTACACACACTCACACACACACACACACAGGATACTCAGGCACCCATGCCATACATGGGCGGCATATGCCACATATGTGGCATGGGGCACGGGGCAAGGGTCGCATACACTAGAAACCGCAAAATGCCGAATGTCTGTGGCTGTAGCAGGCAGGAATCTGGTTAACCATTACAAATCAAATGGAATTACATCAGAGACAGCGCCTGGCAATGCTACTAGGACCCACTCGTGGGTTAAGTGGATTCAATGGTTAATACGCGTTCCCCCGACAAGGCCCAAAGGCGGCCCAGAGATGAGGCACAGCTTTTATGCACCGAGGCCTGAACCATGTGAAAATGGGTCAAAAACGTGACTCTTCAGAGTCATATGGAATGGGGGGACACGGCCTCTTCAGCATGTGTTGGCATGTTTTATGGTTTTAAGGACCCAGATTTTAAAAAATTACACTGATTTTACTCAGCGGATTTGCTACAAAATGTACATACATGAATATTTAGAAAAATTTAGAAAACTAAGTGTTTCGGTTTCGATAATAGGGCCTCATATGCTACAAAAAATTCTATGAATATTTAAAGGAAGAAAGCTGGAAACGATAAGCTGTTTGGGGGTTGTCAGTTAAAAATATGAAAATATATCACTATATAGTATTAAAGGTTAAATAATTACAATAAAAGTCTATTTTATTTGAGGCGTTTGCCACAAAACAGCTTCGTGGAAGGAAAGATGTAATAAAAAATTGACAAAGATGTAAGGGACACTTTGAAAATCACTTAAGAATGGATGGGGGAGGTTTCAGCTTTAGAATTTTGAATAACTTCTACAAAAAAAAAAAAGGTGGAAACTGTTCACGGGGGCGGGCGGGCTCCTTCAATAAATTTGGGTCACTTTATTTGGCAAAGTTTTTGGCCTTTTCCGGGAACTTTTGGCCTCAAAGTTTTATCAATTTTATTGTTGTTGATTTTTGTTGAATTTCGTTTTTATTTTTGTTACCAGATTCCGCTTCATTTCCTGTTCTGTTCGCCCCCTTGGGGGGTCTCTTTTTCCTATTGGAAATACATTTTCGGTAGTGTGGGGTGTGGGGTGGGTGTCCTGGCTTATCTGCTACAACAACCATTATACAATTTTATTGCACACACACACAAACACACTCACACACCCATTTGCATGGGAGTGAACGAAAGAACATGCAAAAGAACAACATAAAAGAGAGAAGACTAGCTCAATCACACCCACATGCACACCCATTGTAGGAGAGAGGAAGGCCTGTTGCGACCACAGGAAGCACCGTTAACGCACACTAATTAGAGCCTGTTCTATTGACAGCCGTACATTACGGCACATGTGTGCATATATGCATGTGTTTTTGCTTCGCGCAATTTTGCATTCACCAGAACACACTCGCACACAGACACTCAGACACACACTGGAAAAAAAAGCAACAGCAGCACAAGCAGCGACAGCAGCAGCGCAATTACGTAGCTGCCAAAAGAAGAAGACGACGAATGCAAAGACAGCAAAAAAAAAACAAACGGCATATAATAATCGTGAAACAAGTACGAGAACGGGGGAGAGAGGGAGGGAGGGTGACAGAACAATTGGCACACGTCGCACTCTAAGTCTTTACCGTTACATACTGGTGTCGCTGGCTCTGCATCTGTGCTGCTGCTGCTGCTTGCAAACATTGCTTTCCCCGCACTGTTCCCACGCTATGGCAGTGGCTGCACCGCTACACACACACAGACACACAAAACACGCAAGAACCGGAGCAGGACAAATCAGGACACGTTTTGGTGCGTGGGAATAGCACAGAATAGCACAGAGTAGTACACAACATAGTAGTACAGAACAGTAGTACAGCAGCAGTGCACAACAGTGTAGAACAGAAAAGAACAGAGTAGAACACACTCACTCACACACACACACACACACACATGAAAAATACTCAACTCGGACTCTCGGGCGGCGGACCTCTCGAAGGCGGAGCCCTTGCAATTGCTGGCGACTGTGGCTGCTGCGCTTGACTATGCGACTGTGGCTGCTCCCATGTCCATGTCCTCGCTGCTGCCTCGGCTAGGCGCACTCACTGTCTTTTGAGTGGATGCGTGCCGTGGCGCTGGCGGCTCCTCTTTCTAGCACGAAGATGAAGATGCGACGGAGGAGCCGAAACCCAAACGCAAACGAAAACGAAACGGAGCGCTGGTGCCTAGAGCACATGACGCGAACGAACGAACGGCCGCAGCAGCAAACGAGCTTCCATAGAGAGAAAGAGAGCAAGAACGGCAGCCAGCCAGCGCAAAAGAGAGCCATGCTTTTTTTCGCAAGCTGTCAAACGAAAAAAGCTTTTCTAAAGCACAACGAACGGCCAAACAGCTTGTTTGCCACTCGAACAGGATGATGGAAATGGAGAGTGGGAGAGTGACGAGCAAAAGAGAGCAGAGAGAAAGATCGAGCACTTTATTACCGCAGAGAGACTAGCAGACATACAGTGTGACAATGATGTCTTCGCCCAACAGGCGCTTTTCACTGATTTGTGCGTTTCTAAATATAAATCTAGCTGATTTAAGATAATTTATTATGCTGCACAACTATTTACTGTTTATTTACTCTCGTTTAATTATTAACTCTCTAATAAATATGACCAATTAATCTTTGAAATGCGTAGCACTGTAGAAACCTAAAGCCACTCCTTGCTATTAATTCTACCAGCTTGAACAGGGATATGAAGGAAATAATATATGTAAATATCTTTTAGCAATATTACCATTCGAATGCCCGCCACTGTTTGCGTGTACATGTTTGTTTGCACATACACAGTATCTGCCTCTGCATTCATATCTTTATGTGTCAGTGATGGTGTGTGTGTGTTTTGGGGGCACGTTTCCCACACCCCCAGATAACGATATCTTCATATATGAAGAACGCCTTAAGAGCAACAATAGAATTATTAATAAGTCAGAAATACGCAACATATTAACCCATCAATTGAATATTGAAATGTGTCACATTTAATATGCAGCTAATTTTAGTTATTGAAAACCAAACCCGGATGAGGGGAGGGGACAAGCAGGAACACGAAATGCTTGAGTGTAAATTGTGTGATTTTTTCGTTGACTTTCAGTCTCTCTCATTACGCGATAAGCCTTTATATATAGTACAGACTGGTACACACATGTCGTACAGTCGATCGTATGCTAACGCAATTTTCATCTACTTACATACATACATATGTATGTATGTATGTAGGGCACTCTTTTTTAAGATGGATCAGGTAGGGGCTCAAGGAACATTCTCCATAAAAAGGAATCAAAATCTTTGCATGCGCTAAAAAAATTCAACGGAGTTTTCTTTCTCCTCTCCACCCTTTCCATCCCAGCCGATCCCATGCGCTCTTCGCTTTCGCTTTCCTTTTTACTCTCCACCGCGTTCCAGCCGTTTGTTGGTCGTATCGGCTCTCTCTCATCGCTGGCAAAGAAGCGGCACGAACGTGCCAGAACGAACCACCAAAATTCAAGCCGCGCTGGTCTGTCCGCCCCTGCTTATCGCACCTTTGTTTGTACAGTTTGACCTTGAGAAATTGATAAAAACAGAAACGAAACGATCGGCTGAGAGCGAAACTGAAGAAGAAAACAAACAACAAAGTCAGAGTTGAGGCCCGAAAATAATAAGGAGAAACAACAAAAACTGTGCCGCACAGCTAGAACACACACACAAGCACACAGTGGCTACGTGTGGAACTGGTTTTGATACCCTTTCGGAGAGCACTATTATTTGGATCAAATGTTTTACCAAATGCTAGGAACAATGGATATGCAAGAGTATCAAAAGTCTCGGCCCCCGTCGAATAAAGCAATCTCCTCTTGCTTTAAATGCGTCGTGCGTTTTATTCGTGCTTATTAAGATCCATATGTGTAAAATCGTATAAATTGTAGTCTTTAGCTCTAAATACAAAATGCTTGAATTAAAGCGGAAATTGGCACACAAATCGAGTAAAAATAGAAACAAAAAAACAATCTGCTTAAGCTTAAACAAAAAAACTCAGTTTTCCCATTTGTTCTGTTAATTAAGTTTCCCCAAGTGCACTTCTAGTGACGCTGCACCGCTGCCAGCGTCTTCTCCAGCAGAGCAGAACTTTCGAGTTCAGAAGCAGAAGCAGAACCAGCAGCAGCGGAGGGCGCTACCTCCGTTCCTCCAGTGTCACATTGGGAGCGTCTGAAGTGGATGATGATTATGATGCCGTTGAAGGTGGATTGTGGTTAGCAGTGGATGTTGGATGGTGGATTGTGGGTGGCTCGAAGGTGAGCCGCGCCGCGCCGACCCGGTCCGGTCCGGTGCGGTGCATTGCCCTCCAGCTAGTCCCGGTCGGAGCTGTTGCCCCCCTCCTTGCCGCTCGCCTTGCACTGCAGACAGTACCGATAGGAAACTGGCTCCGGTGGTTTGTTCACCGCAGCGGAGCCATTGGCGGCGGCAGCGGCTCCTCCCATGGAATCGAACGGATTGGCCTTGGTGTCCACCGGGCTGATGGGGAAATGCTGCCAGTGGGGGCACGGCATCTGCTTGGGCGGATGGATGGGGAAGGGCATTCTGCTGGCACTTGCACTAGCAAAAAATAAACACTGTCCCTCGAAGATCAGGGGTTGGGTTTCCTTCAGATGCAGTTTGAGCCGGGAGCACTGTGGTTGCTTCAATTGGAGTTTTTGCTGGCGCTCTCCTCGAACACTCGAAACGAACTGTGCGGTTTGCTCGAAGCGACGCCGCCATTCGCATCAACGACCAAAACAAAAACGAAACGCAGCGCAACGCCCAGCTTCGGGAGTCGACCTGCAGATACCCTGAACGCATGAGCGCACAACTGCGGTTTCCGGAAAATCTACCAAACAAAACTCACTCTCTCTCTCTGTCTCTCTGCAACGCTAGGGTAGCGGAGCAGCCAGACAACAAAAGCACACAGAGAGAACCAAGCAGGCAGCTGTGCTTGGTGTCGGGTCTGGTTTGGTGGGCTCGTCCAAGGTGTGTGATTGATAAGGTGGGTGATACCGTTCTCCCTAGTTTCTCCATTCTTTCTGCCACTTCTTGTCTCCGGTTCTGGTGTGCCCACGCACTACATACAAATTGGAAGCCTTCGCAACATGGCATCACCTTACATCAAATGCATCTTGCCTTGGTCTAGCCAACAAAGGAGCAACAACAACCCAACACCAAAGAAAAACACAAAGATAGCCAGAGAGCGAGCGAACGAGCGAAAGAGTGAGGCAATTGAGAGACCGGTGTGCTGTCCGTTCTCCCTCTGTTTGCCTTAGTGCGAGCGATTTTTGTTGCAAATCTTTGGGTAGCGTGGGCGTGAAATGTGGGGGGTGGCGGGGTGGTGTTAGTGCAGTCCGTTTGCTCCGTTTTATGTTTGTGCTTTGTTCCCGTTTGCATTCCCGTTTTGGCATTCTCCATTCCGGGACCCCATTGCCACTCAAAGAGCTCTGTTGATGCTTACAGTTGGACTTTGCCCGGCAGTTGGAGAGAGGTTTGGTTGGAATTGAGTGGAGTGGTGTAAAGTGGCGCGGAATGGATAGGGGGGCAGGGTGAATGACTGTCTGCCGGACTCTCTTTCCGGGTTCTCGAATGCTTGGCGCATGTTGTTAACCTCATATTCCTTTGTGGCTTGCCTTTTGTGCGAAGTTTGTTCATTAAGTATACGCACACTTGAGCATACATATAGCTGAAGCACGCACTGACTATATACGTACACTGTACATCATCTATGTATGTACATACATACATATATGGGTTGGCGGCTCATTAATTGAGCACGCGAATAACTTTGATTGCCCCTTATAAGTATGTACGTGTGTTCCAAGCGGATCCATTGATTGTGGGTTAGTTAAAGTTAGACAAGCAATTGATAAATTATCATTGAATGTGGAGATAAATAACAACATTTGATTGCATAACCAGAAATGATTGCACTTTCAGAGATTCTGAACCAAGGAAGACAAAGATTCCTTAAGGGCAAATAAGTACATCAGAGAGTTCTCTTTTTACGATCTTTTCATCTAGGCATCTCTCTTAAGCTGTGCTCTTAATATCGGTACAAAATACCAAAACGATAGCCCCAACAACAGATAAACCAAAAGCTGTATAAGGTTTCAATGCATATTCAAGACCTTGAGGAAAACTATCTATGGTGTGATATTAAATTTACTTAATTTTATCACTTGATATTTATCTATTTATGTAGCCAATGCAATGGGTAGCAAACCTGTGGCAAAAACAATGAGTATCAGTATTAAGTTAATCATTAGATCTTTATTAAACTTATGCTTTAATCCAAATACAATTGTAACCTCCAGCAGTCGATTAGCTGCGAATATATGCAATCCGTTCATGGTCATGCATTTACATATTGCCATTTGCATCTTCATGTATGCTATATCGTATCATCATATCAATTCGATACATATGCACACACATAAATCATGCATCATTAGATCTATATGTGTATATATCATAATACACATGTGTTAAATCGCATCAATTCTAATTTGATCTAAACAAAAAAAAAAAAACTGGTGTAAAGTCTACCATTATATTATAGTTAATTTAAATAGTTTTATTTATTTTACTTGTGATTTGTATCCTTTACTATCTTTTAATGTTGTCATTTACACTTTTCTTGGATTCTTAATTTTTCTTTTTTTTATGTTAAATTATTTTTTTACTTGTTATTTTCTAAAGGTTTTTACATTTGTGTGTTTCTGTATGGTTCTTTTGCTTTTTCTCGATATTATTTATCTTGAACTATTTTTAGTTACTAATTAGCTGTCAAATATCAAAAGGGTAAGAACAACATTTAAAGAATATATTTTGGAAATTAACCTTTTAGTTTTGTCATTCGTTTTCAATTTTATTTGTTACTTTGTTTTTTATTTATATTTTGTTATATTTTCATTCAATTTGGTGTCTTCATTTTCATAAACTGTCATGATTTAATCCTCCTTAGTTTTAATCATTACGTTTGGTGTTTTTTCTTTTAATCGGTTGTTATTTCTGTTAAGATTCGATTCTTTTAAATTTATTCTTTTAAAGCTCGTTTTTCAACATTGAAAATTTACATTTAGTTATTACGTTTAGTTTATTATTTCACCTTTCGATTAAAATTAGTGTTTTTTTCAGTTGATATTTTCTTGATTTTCTTTTTAATTTATGCTTTTGGATTAATCTAATCTTGCCCTAAAATTGTTTTTTTTTGTTATTGTTTATAGTTTATTCTTCTGCGATTGTTGCGATATATTATTTTTTAATGAAATTAAATGTTGTCTGTTTAAATCACCGGCACGAAAAAAAAGTCCTAATCAAAAACACCTACCATGTGTTTGTGTGTGTGGGTTGCTTAGACCTATGATTACGATTACAATTATTAATGATGATTAAGATTATAAAAACCTTTACATTTTGTTTGAAAATTATGTTACCACTCTTACCGCTCGTGCCTTTGTATAATTAGTTTACTTTAACAATTGCCTACGTGTTATTTGATTTAATTAAATACAAACAGAGATGTATACATATATATATTATATTTAATTTACGACTCTATTCGTTTGATGTTCTGGATTTAAGGTATTTTGCGTTAAATTGTTGCCCTCATAAAGTAAGCTAGTTTCTATATCATATTTCTAAACATATTCCGTATATATTTAGGCTAAAAATAAACACTAGGTATTAAATATATGTTAAAATATATTTAGATTTAGATTTCTATTTATATTTATATTTTTACATATATAAATATCAATTCGATTTTCTTATGCTCCATATTTATTTTCATCCAGAGACGGCCTTCATTTTGCGAGTGAAAGTGAAATATTTACAAAACAAAGTTTGGAAATTAGAGCAAGAGTTTTCATCCAAGAAATGCCTGCACTCGTATGTTACATTAGCAATCGAAAAGATATAGTCATAGATCGCGAATTGCGTGTAGAATGATTGAGAGTTAGATACGTTAGATTACTTTCACTAGTCTGTCTAGTTCTAGTTCTAGTTAGTTGGTTGCTTGGAGAGAAAGAGCCTTGAGTACGCAAGGAAAATTAGAATAATTAGAACACCTGAGTTTAACATTTACATATATATATATCTCATATATGTATATCATACATATATCGTCTTAGATATCAATTTGTAATATCAAGTGTAGTTTTTGTTTACGTCTACATCATCGTTTATCATTCATCATTCATCAGCTTCGTCTTGAGATGGAAAGTTTTGGGGTCCTGGGGTCCTGGGGTCCTGGGGTTTGAGGCCCCCTGTCAAATTGTGTCTGAAGACAGCTACAATTAACTACGATACATGTATATCCCTCCGCACAAGACGCGGATACAATAATTTAGCTTGATAAATATGTTACATTGAAAGTTTCTCGTTTGTTTTTTGTGTGCGGTTTGCCCGTGTGCCTGCTAGAGATAACATTTTCATTTTCATTTTCGTTTCCTTTCTTTTGTTTTGCCCTATGTAATTGGGGTTGTCATTACGTTGTAAACTAGCTTAAAACTTAAACAAAAAACAAAAAAAAAGAAGTGATTTATATACCTATATACTACGTACATATATAGTGTATATAAAGAGCTAAGTAAAGTGCATTGCTATAGACAAGAGAAGCAGCTGCCAGTAGTGTCGGGCCTCTTATGAGGCATTCGAGACGGGCAGCGTGACGGGCGCCTGCCGGTAGTACTGGTTGGCCCCCTTGATGGGCAGCGGATGCGCCTCCGTGTTGAACACCCATTCGTCCAGCGGCAGTACCGAGTCATCCGAGAACAGCAAGTATAGATACTACATTCATGCATCGCACAAGAGAAGAGATAATCAATTGTTAGAGCCTCATCGTTTGGGTGTGTATTTGCTCAGGTCAAACCTTTAGTGTTTCGGCCAGGAAGAAGCTCTGCTGCACATCATCCTTCTGGGGCTCCGGCTGGTAGACATTACGCAGGCCGCAATAGCCATGGGGCGTGCGGCAGTGCTTCTCCAGGGCCAGCACCGCCTCCCAGCCCCAGTCGCGATACTTCTGGTCGTGCGTGAGCCGCCACAGCACAAAGTAGCTCTCAAAGGTCTCCGGACGCAGTATATAGTACTTCTCCTGGGACCGGAGTGCCCGGGCCTCCACAGCATCGCTAAAGCTGAAGGAGAGGAAGAGAAAGAGAACTGTCAGAACGCTGTCGGGATGCTTAAACAGGATTGATGGCCATACCGGAATGCCTCGGGTCCCAGTTGTGTGGGCGCTCGAATGTAGCTCTCGTGGCAAGTGTTTGTGATGCCCTTGCCCACCTCCATGTACTTGTCCCTGTGCTCGTTCTGGCGCGTGGCAGCCCCCAGGGCAAACAGGCCGCCTGTTGGTGGACAAAAGAGAGTTTGAAATGCGGGGATCTTCGAGAAAGGCAACTGAAACTCACCCGAAAAGCAGGCCAAGTGATCCATCTTGTGCTCCAAACGATCAAACTTGAGATCGGACACATACGTCAGGCCATTGGGACTGGTGCGCACCATCTTGTCCATGATGGCCACCATTGCCTCGTCGTACATCTCGCGCGCCTCCTCGTCCGTCTGTCCCGATTGGAGCCAGGCCTTCAGCAAGTACTCGTAGTAGCTGTCCCCCAACGCGCCCAGCGACATGTGAACTGCAACAAAGAAACGATCACAGATCAGACCACTCCAGAGACTCCACTCCGCACTCCGTACTCCACACTGCGCACTCCACTCGACTTACGTTGTCCCCATTTGCCTGTCTTCGGATTGAGGAAGTTGGGATACAGCCCCTTTGGCTTCTCGATTTCCTTGAGCACCTGACGGATGGTCTGGACCCGTTCGCGGTACAACGGATTGCCGGTGATGTCGCTCAGATAGGCAAACTCCAGATGGAGGGTACCGAACTCCGATAGGATCGAGCTGCCGCCCGATGCCCAGCCATAGTTCTTGGCCATGCCCGACTTTGTGTTGACCAGGGCATAGGGTATGCCCGTGGGCGTCTGGAAGGCGGGCAGCAGCTTGTCGGCCACATGCTGTGCCTTCTCCTTGTACAGCGGATCCCCGGTGAAGGCGTACAGGGTCAGCATGCCGCCCACGAACCGGATGTTCGTCTCGAACACGCTCAGCTCAGCACTGATGTTGTCCAGCGAGAACTTGCGCTCGATCCAGTCACGCCCCTCCCGGTACTCGTTCTCCAGCCCCATAATGTACAGCGTATCCAGGCCATCGACGATTGTCGCTCCCAGATCGTACGAGCCGAATATGCTGCCCGAATGCGGCCGCTGTGACAGCGGACGCAGCTCGTTCTTGCCCCACGCATACAGTTTGTAGTTGTGCCAGGCATGCTCCATCATCTGCAACAACAAAAAAAGGGGAAATTACACATTAACAAATGGATTTTATATTGGAATTAAGGCCTCTAATGGGAACTCCCCCTTGGACGGTCAAGTGTCCAAGACGTCTTCCTGTTCTTTCAGTTAGATCTACGAATCCTTGGCAGATCGGCTGTGTCTTAAGTCTCTTCAGGGCTCTATTACAACACTTTATTAATCGTACAAATAAGCGTAGCAACAATGCTACTAAATACTGCCATTAAATTATTGACTCATTATGGAGAATCTCTTAGCTTTTGAGCCAGATACAGATTACAGACGAAGACTGGATTTCCTTCACTTTTATATATAGTCCTTCTCCTCCTTCAAATCGCTGCCCATGTCAGTGGCGACATTTCCCGTGGAGCAGGAAGCAGGCCTTTCCCTCGTTTCCCTTGGGCTTCCCAGCTGCTTGATTTTGTTCTGTTTTAGTGGAAGGCTCGGCTCCTCCATCAGTTGGGCTTCGAACATTGCCGGCTCGGTCTTCCTTTTTGAGAGGGTGGACACAGTAGTAGGTGCCGCTCTGTGGCAGGAGCCTCCTTTGTGGCCCTAAGGGTGATACGCTCCTGAGTAGCTATCGTTTTGGCCACCAGCTGCATTACTGCCTCACAGGAGATGGCTTTTCCGAACTTTTCAATTGGGAAAAGTGTATAGATCACAGATTCTTCTGTTGAGTGTTGCAGTTGCACGAGCGAGCCTGTGTGTAGCTCCATAAAAACATATCAATGTTTTCAGTCTTTCTTTCAGTCGAAGCAAATTTGTGCCTTTCTTCGTTTCCAACACAGAGGAAGCCCTCGGAGAGCACTGCCATGGCCATAATCCGGCCGCATCTCTTCTTCTTTAGGCTTTTGCAGGCGGCGGCTCTTTGGCTATTTTGCATTTCGCCATTTACTCGCATCCGTTGCCACACACACAGTTGCACAGTGGCTTGGTGGGGCCTCCCAGAACATAATTTGGCATTGCATACTTTCGAGAGTCCTCCTTCGCCCTCTCTCTATCGCTCTCTCCTCTCATGCTTCCTGCTTTCACTGTCGTTTTTTTTTAGTACAAAATTAAATTACGACCTCACGACAAAGCACTCAACACGGACCATGCACTCTGCACGTTCTCTCTCTCCCTCCATATTTTTTGTTTTTTATGAGAGAAGGCAAATGGAGCTGGACAGCGAAAGGAGAGCAGGGTCTGGAGTGTGTGTCTGTGTGTGTGTGTGTGTGTGTGAGGGGCTTGCCCGTGTAGAGCAAATATTAACAATTTTCCCGGTAATTAATTAAAGTCCAACGCGTTGACATAACCCCCAACTATGACCCCAACCCATAACCACCCCCAGCCCACACTTAACCCCATAAATCCCAGTTGAATGGTTAGGGCCAAGTCTTTAAGCTTTCTTGGCCTGTCCCGCTCCTTGGGCATGAAAATCTTGTTCTCCCAAGGGCTCAAGGCCGGGTTTCCGATTGCACTGCGTGTGGGCGGAGATTCATTTACATTTACATTTACATTTACATTAATTGAGTAATTTTTGCTTCAGATATGTGCCGAGTGTGTGGCATAACATCACGAAACTTCAGGAAAATGTCGCCTTTCGCTTATGGGAAATTTGTACAGCAAAAGGTATTTCACTTGGAAAAAACCCAGAGATCACAATTAAGAGCTATGATTGACCTGTGACCTCTGTGGGTATGAAAATAGTACAGTTTAGAACAGGTTAAACCTTACTTAATAATTTTGTTTTTTAAATAATTATTATAATAAAATTATAGTAAAAATAATACAAATAATTTTTCCAGCTCTTTGCAACGTAGAGGTGTCCATAGAGAGCATATTTTTCATTGATTAATGACGAGTCGAAAGGGGTTCATAGTCTATTGTTTCTTCCTGTCCATAGATCACTTTGATAACTTTCTTGGATGTCCATCTCTCTCTCTCTCTTCTGCATCCCCGAAACGTTGAGGACTCATTCCGTATAGCAAATATTATTGAGAGAATTCGACTGAAACGCTCGGCACTGACAACATTCAACCGAAGAGGCACGAATGGAATTGCAAGACTTGCAGATTGGGGGATTAATAGACCTGTGCAGGTGTTTTTCTCTCATTTCGTAATATTATTGTTGCACGGGGCAATAATTTACCAACGTCTGTTCTCCTGAAGTTTCTCCTTATTATTAACTACTATAAAATCACAAATACGTGATTATCAATCTATGGATAGGCCCAGGCCCTATCTTTCAACAAAAGGAATCTTAATTGCAAACAGAACAAAAAATATAAGACTTATTGATGCCTCAACATCAACTTGCAACCATTACCAGAACCATTTAGTTTTTGCCTGCTTTATAAATAGCTTTGTTGCTAAATGCAACCTCAAATTGTTCTTGGAAATAATTGGTCAACAACACAGTGGCAGCAACACTTCTCTTTTTCGTGCAAACAGCTGACGCAGCGGATGTTAAGCATAACAGAGGCTACTGGGTATTTTGTTCATTCCTTCATCGTCCCTTACATAACCATTGGCAATCGCATTCGCATTCATTTGAATTCCCTCCAAAACCTAATTAGCGAACATTTTATTTACAAATCCAACTCTTATCGGACACGAGAGTGAACACAGGACCACAGTCAAAACAACCGATGGCCTTGGACATGACCTTTCGAGTCCACAAGCGCCACAGAACTACAGAACCCCTGACCCTAAAAGCTGCAGCCAATGTGAGGGCCGAGAGCCTGAAACGGGTCAGTCAGTCAGTGATTCGTGAGTGGATTGTGGTAGAGGATGGGATGGGCTGGTGATGGGATGACTGAGAGTAGCCTCGCTGTCAAGTGAATTAAAAGTCGAAAATGTTTACAGTCAGCTGAAAAACACATTCTATGCATTAAAACGACTGTCAGAACGAGACATGGCAATGAAAAAGTTGTTGGTACATATCTCAGAGAGAAGGAGGTCTCAACACGTGTGCATTGAGTCGTTTCTTAAGCCCAAAATTGGACATTAATCGATCATAGTGAATCCTTTGGTAACGCTTTAATCGATCATCGTGTGCATTGTATCCCCTCTGAAGCTACAAAATGATATTTAATCGCTTCACATAAAGCTATTGAGAGCTCAAATTGGCAATTTCATCGATCATAAAGAGACTGTCATCGATTGTTAAACTGCGATGAATCGTTAATCGTTCTGCAGATCAAAATTGGGCTTTAATCGATTATCATGGGCGTGGAATCCCGTTTAATCGATATCAGTAAAGTCTTTAGTGCTGCAATAGTATCGATGGTATCGATGTTATCGCTGGTATCTCTGTGTAAACTACGTTACGATCCATAGATCCAACGATTTCTTATCGTTTTTGCTATCGTGTTGCTTTTCTAACCCATTCGCTTAATCCACGTTCTCTTTGCGATCTTTCCGTTGCTTCTACTCCTTAAAAAGATCTTTTCGTATGGCTTTGACCATTACTCTCCACATATTCCTGCTATGCTCTCCGTCATGTCCTTGGTATTTTCATTACAAACATCAGCATCATCGTTTGCATTTGCCTTTCGAAGCATAATTACCCAACTCTCATCGGACACTCTCCGTACAGGACCACAGGCAAAACAACATTTATCCCGAGACATGACCTTTTGTAGCCCACAGAGCCCCAACCAAAAACCAATGGCAATGCCAATGCCAATGCCCAGGCCCTGGGCCTACTAAACGGCTTAGTGAGTGGGTAAGAGTCGGGACGAGGAAGAGTGAGCCCCCCCCCCCTGTCAAGTGAATTAAAAGTCGAAAATGTTTACAGGCCGCAAAAACACTTTAAACGGATTACAACTACTGTCAGAATCCAGGACATGCCTCCGCCTGCCACCGTTGAAGGGGGCAGATGGAACATGGATGATGGGCGATGGGTAGGCAGACAGAGGAGGGCAGGGCAAAGGTCAGAAGGCGGCGGATTGGAACAAAGTTTTGTACATTTCGGTCGGCTTTGGCTTCGGCTTCTGCTACTTTCCTTGCTGCGATTTAATGAGCCACAACACCCAGATTGATGGGCATACCAGAGGGAATGCTAAAAAAGAAGCGGCGGCACAAGCGCGCCAGACCAGAATGGAGAAACGAAACGAAAAGACAGGCAACAGGATTGTGTACAGCAGTCTTCAATTCATTTTGACAGAATTATGAGCTCTGTTGTAGCGCTGTCCAATAGTTTCATTGCTGGCTTTTCACGCAAATAAATTGTGACAGATTTCCGTGATATTTGGGGTTTTTATTGGCTGCCTGTGGTCAAGTTGAAGGCCTTACGGCGTCACTCAGCGTATATTCGGCTTAGAGCAGCAATGAAGCCCTGCATGAATCATAGCTTTGCCCGCACTCATGCCCCTTCAAAGGCCGCCCTTCGATCGTTTCAGAATCCATCCGTCCGTCAAAAAACATGCTACTATTCGAGTGTACAAGGATCTGCCTCCAGTATACCTAGTGCTTGATCCCAGACAGGATCCAATGTCCATCCGAAAGAAGGCTGATCTGCCAGAGGAGGGTCTTCTACCCACTCTGCTCCTGGCTCTCCATCCGATTGCTGGAGCTCCTGCTACCACGTCCCTTCTGCCCACGTCCTCGCACCTCGATGCTGAACATTCGCTGCTGAGGATGAAGCCCTTTACGTGGTTTCCCCTGCCGCGGCCTCTCCCCTTCTTTTACCAACGAGTACACGCATTACCATTTAATTAAGACTAAAGATGTATTTATAAACAGGCTCTGGTTGGTTTTTGGTCCTTGGTTTCAAAGGTTTCATTACTTTTTGGGCTTCAAGATGGGCGTCCTGAGATGGAGGCACCCGCAGGCTTTGCGGCTAATCTCAAGGGGTACGCTGGCCCTGATCTAGATTGATGGAATTTCCTGCACTTCCCCGGGGTCTCGGGGACAGCTGTATGTCTTAAATTTCTTCTCCAGAAACCATTAGGAATAATAATCACAACAAAAAAAAAGCCCCTAATAGAGAAGCGTATTTT